CTCTAGGGATGCTGCGAGAGAAACCGTCACAAGAGGGGCAATCTGTTTGGTTTATTTAGTCCTTTAAAACACTGACAGGTTTCAGAGAGTCTATGCTATGGAGGAATAATATATACAATTTCTGAACAAAAAGCGCAATTACAGTTTTATTTCTGAAGGCCAAAAACTGAAATAATTATCTAAGAGTGAGGTGGAGTAGTGGTTAAGTAAACCATGATAGATTCACTTGAAAGAATGGTAAGCAGTCATTTAAATTGTCTACTTAACATATGTCTAATTGTGTATGAAATAACATGGAAAATGTAAAACCATATGGGAAATGCTCCTGAGTGCATTTTAAGTAAAAAGCAGGATAACATTTGTTTAGACACAGAGGCTTCTCCACAGCACCAGCGAAGCAGAGCCTTCCAGGTCCCGCCTGCCAATAAGAAGCCTGCATTTAGGTGGTGGGATGGTGATGTAATCAGCAACCCAGCCAATCGCTCTGATGGTGATTTGCATATTCCCTCCTCCCAATCCAACAGGACCCAATTTCTTTCAAGGAGAGCACTGGGGGGGAGATGGATATCTCCAAAAGAAAGGGAAGAAAATTACATTAACAAAGGAATATTTGTAACGAGGTTGGTATCCAAATACAGTGATCAAAATTATGAGATCTAGTCTCTCTAAAGGATGCTTTCACCTTCGAAGAAAAGCAGACTGCTTGGTATGTTTAAAATAGCTCTCTGAAAACTACCTACTCCTTTGATATTTAAAATGTTTTTCGATTAAAATTAAACTTTTAAAAATAAAATAATCTTAATAAGAACGTTTTTGAAGAATTTCTACAGAATAAGAAACCATTTTCTTGGATAATCTACAAGCCTCTTGCTATTGGCAAAAATAAGCCTTTTATTTCTCAGACTTAATTGATTTTACACACACAGACACAAACACCCTACTCTATGCTTTACCTGTTGATCTCAGCAACTTATCCTCTGTAATTACAACCTCACCAGTTTATCAAGCTAAATGAACTGGCTGCTGACAAAGGAACAGGATTCCACAGCCCTGATCTTAATTCTTATTTATACAACTTACCAAGACCAATGTTCTTTAAACTAACTATACCATGTTATTTATTTGTAATTAACTGGTGTTGCCAAAGCAGGGAAATGCTACTCCTACATACCAAATATAATTTCTTACTGTGTAAATCAGAAATTTTTGTCTTATCTTGAACATCAAAACTTAGTATGTGCCTCTGTTTTCCCAAAGAAGCCTAGAAAAACAGAATGATCCAATCCTTTAAACAAAATTTCAATCAAAATACTTTCAGGTTCTATTTATCTTAGGGACTCAAGAATTTACTTTGGCTAATCAAAATTTGCCGTTAGCTTCAAACTGGCAGTTGCAGGTCACACAGCTCTCTACACAGACTTCCCACTCAAATTTTCTTGGCAGTAGCATATTTGTTCCATAATACGACACTCAGTGAAAGTCAGAAATGGGTGAGACACATTTAAATGAACTCCCAAGGATAGAGCAGTTGGAGTGGAATGTGCAACGCTTTTGAAACTGGATGACATCTCTGATTATAGGCACAGCCCTCACACTGTGCCAGGCAATGTCTAAATGCTTTACACACAGAGGTGGGCAAAAGTAGGCTTACAGTTGTGAGCGACATTCTTTTGAGTTAATAAAGCTATTGTAATAATCATAACCTGCATGTATTTTTCCATACGGACAACTCTGTAAACCTACTTTTTCCCACCCCATTACCTACAGCACCCTCTAAGGTAGATATTGTTAGTATACCCCCTTCCAAATGAGAAATCTTGGCATAAAGAGGTTAGAGAGCTTGCCTCCAATCACATGCTCAATGGAGAGCAGAGCCAGGATTTGTCTCCAAGAAGTCTGGTCACAGAGTCTGAACTCTTAATTACTATGCTACCCTGCCTCTTCAAAATAGAAAGTAAAGTATTAGTTGATTTCATAAAGCACACTACGGACATTTTGTTGACCTGCATCACACCTTGCTAAATATGACCATCAATAGAGCTAGCTCATTTTGCTCAGTAGTTAGAGCATTGGCCCGAGGATTGAGGGGTCCTGGGTTCAGTTCTGGCCAAGGGCACATACCTTGGTTGAAGGCTCGATCCCCGGTCCTAATCAGGGCACATGTGGGAGGCAACCAATTGATGTGTCTCTCTTACATCAATGCTTCTCTCCCTCTCTCTCTCCCTTCCACTCTCTCTGGAAAAGCAATGGAAAAAATGTCCTTGGGTGAAGATTAAAAAAATTATGAATAAGTATGGCCACAAATAGGAAACTTGGCTATGTGTATAATATAAAAATCAAGGCCCTGGCCAGGTAGCTCGGTTGGTTAGAGTGTTGTTCAGATACTTCATGGTTGTGGGTTTGATCCCTGGTCAAGACACATATAAGAATCAGCCAGTGAATGCATATATAAATGGAATAACAACTCGATGCTTCTCTCTCTCTCAAATCAATAAATAAAATTAAAAAATCAAACTTAAGGCCACTTCAACGAAGTACAGAAATGAGGCATAAGTAAAAATGATAATGGTCTTTGCTTCCTTAAAGCTTCATATCATCTCCCTCCACTTTTCTTCAGCTTAGAGCCAGGTCATGAACATGTGATCACATGTGTTTGCCATTTGCTGGTCACTTCGTGCCACCCAAGACTGGCCCGGGGTCTTTGGGGCCCCTGAGCTTCTCTGGGGCCAGTCAGGCAGGTGACAGTAGACTCCTCTGCCTGACATCTTGTACCCTGGGAATCTTCCCCAACTGAATCTGTCTAGATCTGCCATGGCATTGTGCCTTTCCCTCACCATTGAAAATGCCAAGGCTTGTATCTTGAGTTTCTACATTGTGTCTGATACTGTGTAGTGGATGTGGGAGTTCTACATTCCCAGCCCATCCCAAGTTCCCATCTTCTAAAAATGGAGCTGCCCAGTTTAGAAAGTAAATTCTTAACAACTTAGGCTTGTCTAGGATGTGCATTAAGATGAGTGGTTAGAATGGGAAGAAGACAGAACAGAGTCAAGAAACTCAGACTAGTAGGACTGAAGTGAGGCATGATGAGTGTGAAAAAGATTGTTAAACTGTAAAACACAGTAGAGATCATCCCTGTGATTCACAGACTCAGTGCCCCCTTCACTAACAGTCTAGGCCAATGGTGCTCAAATGCTAGCTTGCTTCAGAAGTACCTGGAGGGCTTGTTAAAACAGATTTCGGGACCCATTATTTCTGTTTCAATAGACCTAGTGTCCAATAATTTGCGTTTCTAACAGGTTTCTAGGTGATGCTGATGCTGCTGGTCCCAGAACCATACTTTTGAGAACTGTTGCTCTAGGCTGCTGGATGGGCAAAAAAAATCCTGTCCGTAGTAAACACTGAGTAGGCACTCAGATGGCCTTATTACTAGGCTCCATATCTTGGTTACCCCAATATTTGCTCTCTTCTGCCTTCAGATTACTCAGCGCAGTTTGGCTGAGATTTATGGGAAAAAGAGATTGCATTCCTTTCCTTCTCTTCTGTATGTCCCAATCTCCTGCCATTAATATCCTTCCTTATTTAAAAGCTGCTTTACAGTTTACAAGGAACTCTCACACTCATTACTGTCATCAAATATGACTTTGTCATTCCTGAGCAAAAAGCTAACTCATGAGAGCTAAAGTGGGGAAAGAGGCAATGGGGCAGAAAACCCCCTTCCCTTTGCATTTGCAGCGCTGAATGTAGCTATAGGTTTGTGTTTCACACCAAGTTTCCTAGAGGGGATGCGGGTCTTCCTCACTGAAGGGATGTATATAATACATGTGTGCAAAGTTAAAGTAAAAAAAGCGGTGATGATACGCATCCCTACCCCTCCAAATAAAATGAGTGGGTGGGGGCAATCCCGACAGAGCCTTTCCTTGGAGGGACCCAGCACCTGCTTAGACAGGTCCCGGCGGCCCGACGCCCCCGCCTCTGCTCCGCAGCCTGTCTCCGCAATGCTAAGACGCAGCGGCCGAGCCCTCCAGACTTCTCCTGGGGGCTCGCACGGTGCAACCAACCCTAAAACGCGGCCACGCGACGCCCCCTCGGCCCTCGAGGCTTCCCATTGGCCCGTTGCCGTTGTCACTCCTTCCTTGCCTCGCCTTCCCCAGGCGGGCGGAGGCGCCGGGCGGGGTAGGTTGCGTTCGCCGTTGGCTTCGGCTGCGGTCGCGGCTTTGCAGCAGGCAGCGCG